AGGTCCCAAACTTTTTCACCATGCCAAAATGAAACCCATACTCATTAAGCAGTTATTCCCCATTCTCACCTCCCTGTAGCCCCTGGCAATCACCAATCTGTTTTCTTTCTATGCATTTGCCTATTCTGGATATTTCATATAATAGAATCATACAACATGTGACCTTTTTCGTCTGGTTTCTTTCACTTAGCCTATTGTTTTCCAGGTTCATCCACATTGTAGCACGCATCTGTGCTTCATTCCTTTTTTAAAAAAATGTTCCTTCTTCTATTCACATTACTCCCTCCTACCTGAATGCACTCTCCCCGTGCCTCCTCTGTGCTTATCCAGCTTAACTCATCACTCAAGAACTAAGTCATACTTTCTCCATAAACATTTCTCTACATCCTCCATCTTCTCTGAACTCCTTTAGCTCTATCTACATTACTTAATTTAAACGCCACACACCAGTGATGTGTAGGATTGGTGTTTAAATAATCCAGCAGATAATGGTGTGGGGAGGGGGATGCATAAGACGAGATCGGCCATATATTGATGATCATTGGAGCAAGTGATGCGTACATGGAACTTGATTATGTCATTCTCTCTATATTGTGTATGTTTGAAAGTTTCCAGAATAAGAATTTCAAAAGGTGTTTCATACTATTACCTGTTCTATGAGTCTCATTCTCCCCATGAGATCCTATGCTCCTCTGAGGTCAGAGATCGTCATTCATGCCTTGGTTGATGGTGGCTAGTATAGAAAGGCAGAGGCTAGTATAGAAAGGCAGACCTCCACTGGTGAATTAAATTCTATCTGAGGTGTTAAAAAATTTCATTGAGAAAAAGCTGAATTTAGACATGAGAATAAAGATCCAAGAGGCTATTCCAGCTTCAGTTTCCTGACCTTTCTTCTACAGTTAAAATCCCTTTTGATTTTTGCTCTAACTTCTTTCTTGGGCTTACAATTGATCTCCCATGAATGAGCTCAATGCACTGGCTCCTGTGATCTGAGACATGTCTGGATAGTCCATAATTATCAAAAATCTGGAAGCCAGGTTTCCATTCAGATTTCTATTTTTGCCCCTCCCTTCTCTCTGTCTGCTTAGATCCCCTTCTAGTTCTCTCTTGTGTCCCACTGATCTACGGGCACCAAAAGTAGAAAAGAAAGGCGTCGTTGCTTCCACATCCACTCATTAAACTTTCATGTCTTATTCTCCTTCTACACTAATAATTCAGAGAAAATACTTTAATAACAAAACTAGCACTTAGTATGGTAACCCACACTTTTCTACACCTACTGCTCTTTCTAATTTCAAATGGGCAACTCCTTAAGAATAGTCTCGTCAAAAAACGTTTGCAGCCAGCACCCCAAGAAGAAAACTCCTTTACCGGAGTCTAGTGTCTGATTCCTGCAGGTAGAAAATCAGGCTAAAAATACAACAGCGGTTGCCACTTTGTGATAGCAGAGGTGACCAGAAAACGATGCGCTGACCTTTTCTCCTCTTTCCCTGAAAAGCGAGGGAAAATATTTTCACGGAAGAGTAATTTCAAAGCTTAGCAAACCTAGAAACCAGGGGGTTTAATTATTTATTCATGTGGGGAGCACCCAGACAGGAGAGGCCGAGGAACTGGACACAAAACAGAAGTCTCTGCGTCATTTGTTAATGCTTAAATCTAAAAACTGTGACTCTGATTATAACATGTTAAAAAGCCCACATTAGGACAAAACAGTCACATGGGCTTTCTCTCTCTCTGAACTGATTCCTTTATCTTCAGTTTATTCGTGCCTTCTGCTCTGCCAAATATCAAAATCTTTGTTTCAGCAAGTCATGTAACCTCTGAGAGTTACTTCCCATCACTGCTCTTATCACACACTCTTCTTATACACAGAATTTTTTTGCTAAATCACCTGCTGTATAACTGTGATAGGCAGAATAATGGCGCCCCCAAAGATATCCACATCCTAATCCGGGAACCTGTGAAGCTGTCCTGTGGCAAGAGGGAATTAAAGGCTGCAGATGGTATTAACGTTGCTAATCAACGGACTTTAAGACAAGGAAATTAACCTGGATTATCCAGGTGAGCCCAATGTAATCACAAGGTTTTATAAGTGAGAGAGGGAGAAAGGAAAGTCAGTGTCAGAGTGACTGGGTGTGAGAAAGACGTGCCCGGCCGCGGCTGGCTTTGAAGATGGAAGCGGGCCCGAGCCAGGAAATGCAGGGAGACCTCTAGAAGCTAGAAAAGGTAAAAGAAACAGATGCTTCACTGGAGCTTCCCTGCTGCCGCTTTGATTTTAGCCCACTGAGACCCATACCAGAAAGCAAGGTATTAGATTTGTGTAGTTTCAAGCCTCCAGGTTTCTGCAAATTCTGCTAACAGTGGCGATAGGGAACTTATCCAACAGCTATTTACAAGAGTTGGAGAGGAAAGGGCCTTCATTTTTATTATCTTGCTTAAAAACAGCAGTTTGAACTAAAAAATTCCTAAAACTAAAGGGAGCTCCCCCACTGCCTGCCGTGACACCTGGGTGTGGCTGCCACCTGCCCCTCCACGAGCCTTCCTTGAGGTGGCTGCTACCTTTCTCCCAGCTCAGAGGCTACTCCTCAGGTTGGGACTGTGGTGGCACGAGGGGTGCCAGAACCCAGGCCGCTGAGAGGCCATTTAGGACGTTCTCAGAAGTTGACTATTTGCTCAACAGCATTTCCACCAGGATAATCATGTGGATAATACCAGGTAATTGCGAGGGTTCCCTTCTTTGAAGGAACTATTTCAAACCTTTTTCACAGTATAATTTTATTTTACAAGGAAAAAAAAACAGGCTTGAAGATATTTCTTATCCAAAATAGCCCAGTATCTTGAAACCTACAAAGGACTTTATATGTTGTCAGCTGTTGATTATCAAGGCACTGATTAGCCAATTTGTGGTGCTTTGAAATTAAGAATTTCTGGTGCCTTGGCCTCCATGCAGCTGCCTACCTTTTGCCTGTTGCCTTAGTTCATTGCTATCGCCTGTTGATGGGAGAGGGAAGGAGAGAAGACTTGATCATTGTGTCTGTCACCCTAAATACGATCTCGTTACCTAAGAGTCTGACACTTCCAGTTTTCTTAGAGACAGAAAGAGCTCATCTGGCCAAAAATAGAAGCCAGAACTAATCGTAAGCAACAAAGGGAAATCATACTTTTCAAAAATCAATAGTGAGTTTCCCCTACAGTGAAGAGCTTTTTTTAATTATAAAAGTTATTCATGTTTGTTGTAAAAAGAAAACAGAACTATATAGATTATATGTAATTTATGTAATATACATTACATGAAACCAACAGCTACTTCCATTATTCACTTACTCATCTGTATTTGAAAACAGTTTTGTTTCAGTTGTGCATTTGTTCCCTTCCCTGTTGCTCGCTTCATATTTGCTTCAAAGGCTGTAAAAGCAGCTCTAAAGAGCTGTGTGTGGCCTTAGGGTAGGGAGTTTCACAGACTATTTATTTCTATTCATCATTAGCACAACTGAAACATAAATCACTACCACAAATTTTCCCCTCACCCCTGACCAGGGCTTCTATATGTACTGGAAACGGTTATGTGGGTGTGACTTAGAGAACGATCACATGCAGTAAAGTCATGTTGCCACATTTTCTGCACATTCTGTAACCAGAAACGATTTGATAAGATGTATGCTCTGGGCAAGCTTGTTTTTACATTTAATGCTTGCTTTCTGTAACATGAAATAAATATGCTGTATGTTGAATGCAGTTGGTCCTGAGTGATACAACACAAGTAAATGCTTTGAGAGCAGTTATCAGAAATGATGCAGGTGGTTCCAAAAGTTATATGGAATTGCACAGATATCCTAAATGCACTTTTGAGTAAATTTCTCAACTACTGGAGGTGGTGCAGCTACTTCAGTCCCCTTTCGGCACAGCGTATGTTTTTATCCATGTATGTCATCCACCATTTCAAGTGATGGAAGAGATCGTTCCCTGTCTTAGTGTCCTCTTGGGGGAAGGGGATGTACAAGCACTAGCTAGCGCTGGGAAGAGGTGGTCATCTAAATTATGGCAAAAGAAGCATAACTGTGACATTTCAACATGAGCTGGGTGAGTGAATCACCAAACGAGTCACAGCAAGTTAATAATCAGTGAGGTTGGAGAAAAATGGTACAGATGAACCGGTTTGCAGGGCAGAAATTGAGACACAGATGTAGAGAACAAACATATGGACACCAAGGGGGGAAAGCAGCGGCAGGTGGGGATGGTGGTGTGATGAATCGGGCGATTGGGATTGACATGTATACACTGATGTGTATAAAATTGATGACTGGGCTTCCCTGGTGGCACTGTGGTTGAGAATCTGCCTGATAATGCAGGGGACACGGGTTCGAGCCCTGGTCTGGGAAGATCCCACATGCCGCAGAGCAACTAGGCCTGTGAGCCACAACTACTGAGTCTGTGCGTCTGGAGCCTGTGCTCCGCAACGAGAGGCCGCGATAGTGAGAGGCCCGCGCACCACGATAAAGAGCGGCCCCCGCTTGCCACAACTAGAGAAAGCCCTCGCACAGAAACGAAGACCCAACACAGTCAAAAATAAATAAATTTTTTAAAAAATTGATGACTAATAAGAACCTGCTGTATAAAAAATAAAATAAAATTCAAAAGTTCAAAAAAAGAAACGAACAGAATGAATGAACAGAATCTAATTCAAAATATAAGATAACAAAACATTTCAAAAATTAAAAAAAATCAGTGAGGTTGGAGATTGAAATTTTATTTGGGGAAGGCTATCAAAATAGGGCCCATAGGAAAGTAAGTCCCTTTAACTAGAAATATGGAATAGCAACACTGCAATGGTGTGCATCTGAAAAGTGAATAAATAGATACTAAGAGCAAGTGAGTCAGAAGCACATGAGTGGTTGAACTCCAGAGACCAGATCAAGCCATGCAGCTTAATACCATCACATGATCTGCCCCGAGGCCCATATTTAATGAAAATAAGGAGTGGAGCACAGCAAAAACCAGAAGAACACTGTTGCTCTTAGCGGATGGAGCCAGAGGAGTTACAAGCTAAACCTTGATTGCCGGGATCTGTGAGGATTCAGCATGGGATGTCTCTACTGTTTCCTGGGATTTCTGCTGCTGGCTGCAAGACTGCCACTTGACGCTGCCAAACGTGAGTAACTGTCCATTTCTGTATTTTTAACCCATTCTCTGGCTATTGCCTGAAGTGATGGGTTTGTCTGAAGTAACTCTGCCTGAGCCCAAAGTTGGACTTTAGGAAGCATTCACACTCACTTGTTTCTTCTTCTGAAAACCGTTGGGGATGTTGAAAGTACAGCAGAATGCGTTCAGTCCCCATTCTTTGCTCCAGGCTCTTGAAGTGAAAGACGTGCAGCCCCTCTGCTGTGGAGCTTTTTTCTATCAAAATTGCCACCCACTCTGTTAGAGACATTGCGGGGGTGGGGCGGGCGATGAAGGGCACAGTCTCTGGCTTGAGACCACAGCAACGCTACCCACTAAATTTTGTTTCGTTGCCATCCAACAGGAAAGAGCCTCAGATGAAATGGGGCCCCAAATCTGGAATCAGACTTTCTAATAATCCCAACCCAGAAGCTATCGCCAATCCTGCTGAGGGAATTCCCTGGTGATCCTGGTGGTTTGGACTCCACGCTTTCACTGCCGAGGGCCCAGCTTTGATCCCTGGTCAGGGAACTAAGATCCCACAAGCCGCTCGACAAAAAAAAAAAAAAATCCTGCTGATAGGTTTTCACAGACCTGCAGGAGTTTGCTGCCACTGTAGTGAGGATACTGAGAAAAGCGCTAAAACCCTGGGTCTCTTTTCTAGTTAGAGTAGAGGCTGGGGACTTTTTAACAATGCTGATGCCCAGATCAATGAGATGAGAATCTTTGGAGGTGGGGTTGGAGCATCCTTGTTTAAAAATCTCCTCTTGTGATTGGAACGGAAGCCGGAGCTGCGAGCCACTGAGCTCACCGGTGGCCCACTTGTCCAGTCCAGGGGATGGGCGGCCATGGCAGCCCCTATCCTCCAGTGGAGTGGGAGAAGGAAGTGAATTAGACATCTCCCAGAAGGTCCACTCCACCTCACTCCAGTAGAGTGACAACGTTCCCTGGAGGAAAAGTCCTGATTTTGCCAGACGACTTCACGGGAGGGAGGTGGGGGGGGAGGTAGGCGCTGAGAAGGGACCCACCGTGTGTGCTCACTGAGCTGGCCGCCTTAAATCAGTCGGCTAGTCCTCACAGCCCCCTTTGTGGAGCACATGGTCCTCCCACTCTTCAACGGGTGAGCAAACGAGGAGCCCAGGTCCGGCTTTTCACCTGCTGGGCCCAGATCGGAGAGTGGAGGATCCTGGACACACGTGCACGCGTTCCTCTCACTCCTCCCAGCGGGAGAGAAAAGCCCTACAGCGAAGAGGTCCTTGCAGAGTGCGATGCCCGGCGGCGGCTGGGTGGAGGAGAAAGAGAGGGGGGCGCTGCAGGCTCGTGGAATGGGGCGGGGGGGACGCTGGGCGCGCCGGGAGCCCGCGGTACTGGGGTTCCGGGATGGGGACCTGGGCTGGGGGGTAGGGGAGGAGAGTGTCAGGAGGCCAGTTGTGCCGCCAGCGCTGAGGCCGGTGACGGGACAGGAAGAGGAGCCGCGACTTTGACCCAGGAGCCCAGATGCAGGGGCTGTGCCGGCGCGGGGCCGGGCCGGAGAGCGGCGGCCCGGGATTTGTCACTCGTCTGGGCCGCACGGGGCCTTGCAACAGCCCGGGGAGGCCGGGCAAGCTGGCGCTGTTCCCCTGTCCCGGGCAAGGGGGAAGGGCCGCACGGCGGATACGAGGACGAGGAAGGCTTTCGTGGCAGCCGCTGTCCTTCCTGCCAGCCGTGGGGCTGGACCACGAGTGACTGGCCCCTGCACCTAATTCTAGCCTCCGGTCCACCGGCACCGCCTTGCTCTGCTCAGCAAGGCAGATCAGCCTGAGGCTGGCCGGCAGTTTGAGAGGAGGCCCAACCTATTACCACGTAAGAAAACCTGCTGTGCCTGGCTTCACCTTGCCTTAAGAAGAAATATCCTGGCCGCAAAAAATAAGGATGGGTAGAATTTAGCAGTATATAAGACACCAAGGGATTCCTTGCCATTTTCCAGTCACAGCCGTGGTAAAAAGAGGAAGGAGAGGCTATTGACAGAGTAGCTCACAAGTGGCCAAGCCGCCATGTCTCTGCTAGTAGAGCAGGGCGTCTGAAGGGTAGAGGGAACAGCCACAGGGGTGCTGGGTGTGACCCCATTTACCTTCACATCTATTCCCCTCCCCACTTTCTTTTTTAAAGTCTTACTGTTGGGGTTTTTAAATTTTTTATTCTATTTTTTAATTCTACTTTTTATTTTGAGGTTATTGTAGATTCACATGCACTTTCAAGAAATAATACAAAGAGGTCCCCGCTATGTACTCTGCGGGGTTTCTCCCAATGGTAACATTTTGCAAAGTTGTAGTACAATGTGGCAACCAAGATATTGACATTGACACGGTCAAAATACAGAACAGTCACATCACCACAAAGATCCAAACCCACTTCCCTTTCCCACTCCACCCAACCCCCAGCCCCTGGCAACCACTAATCTATTCTCTAGTTTTATAATTTTGTAACTTCAAGAACGTTAGAGAAATGGAATCATACAGTATGTAATTTAGGGGAACTGGCTCTTTTTTACTCAACGTAATTTATTGAGGTTGTTGTGTGTATCAATAGCTAGTTCTTTATCACTGAGTGGTACACCGGACTACGTGGATGTACCACAGTTTATCCATTCGCCCACTGAAAAATTTCTGGGTTGTTGCAGCTTAGGCTATTATGAGTAAAGCTGCTCTGAACATTAATGTACAGGTTTTTATGTGAACATAAGTTTCCATTTTTCTGGGACAAATGCCCATGAGTACGACTGCTTGGTTGCATAGTAATTGCATGTTTAGTTTCACAAGAAACTGCCAGACTGTTTTCCAGAATGGCAGTACCACTTCCACCAGCAGTGTATGAGTGATTCAGTTTCTGTACATCTGCACCTACATCTGATGTCGTTTGCTTTTAATAAATTTATTTATTCTACTTTTGGCTGCATTGGGCCTTCGTTGATGTGTGTGGGCTTTCTCTAGTCAGGGCGAGCAGGGGCTACTCTTCGTTGTGGTGGTCAGGCTTCTCATTGCGGTGGCTTCTCTTGCTGCAGAGCACAGGCTCTAGGCACGCGAGCTTCAGCAGTTGTGGTGCGGGGGCTCAGTAGTTGTGGCTCATGGGCTTAGTTGCTCTGTGGCATGTGGGATCTTCCCGGACCAGGGCTTGAACCCGTGGTCCCTGCATTGGCAGGCAGATTCCTAACCACTGAGCCACCAGGGAAGCCCCTGATGTCAGTATTTTTAATTTTAGTCTTTCTGATAGGTATGCAGTGATATCTCATTGTGGTTTTAATGTGCATTTACTCACTGGCTAATGATATTAAACATCTTTTCATGTGTTACTTTGTCTTCTGTACATCCTCATCTGTGAAATGTCTGTTCAGGTCTTTTACCTGGATTATTTGATTTTTTAACACTGAGTTTTGAAAATCCTTTATATGTTCTAGATATTATTCCTGTTTTGGAAATGTGGTTTGCAAATATTTTTCTCCCTGTAATGTGCCTTTTTACCCTCTTCACATGGTATTTCACAGAGCAAAATTTTTTAATTTTAATGAGGCCCAGTTTATCAGTTTCTCTGTTATAGATTATGGTTTTGGTGTTAAGTCTAAGAATTCTTGCCTACCTAGAACCTGAAGATTTTTCCTATGTTTTTTACTTTTTTACAGTGCCATGTGTTGAAAGGCTATCTTTTCTCCATTGGATTATATTTGCAAAAATCCGTAGGGCATATCTGTGAGTCTATTTCTGGGGTCTATAGTCTGTTCTATGGGCCTATGTGTCTATTCCTTGTCACTTGCCTTTTAAGTTTGTATTTTTCCTTGATTTTTGACATTTATTTTTTTCAATTTATTTTTATTTATTTATTTATTTTTTGGCTGTATTGGGTGTTCGTTGCTGCTCACAGGCTTTCTCTATTTGCAGCGAGCAGGGACTACTCTTCATTGCAGTGCCCGGGCTTCTCATTGTGGTGGCTTCTCTTGTTGCGGAGCGTGGGCTGTAGAGCACGGGGGCTTCAGTGGATGCAGCGCATGGGCTCTAGAGCACAGGCTCAGTAGTTGTGGTGCACGGGCTTAGTTGCTCCGCAGCATGTTGTATCTTCCCGGACCAGGGCTCGAACCCATGTCCCCTGCATTGGCAGGTGGATTCTTAACCACTGTGCCACCAGGGAAGCCCAGACTTTTGACATTTAAAATCAGAGGAGAAATCTGTGTTTGAATTATGTTTCTGGAAACACTGACATTCACTCAGGATCTGAGGAAGAGGAAGACTTCGGAAGAGTAGAAAAAACTGATCCTGGGACTCAAAGATGCCAATCTTCATTTCTACTTGATTACAGATGACTCTGAGTGAATCGTATCACTTCTCTAGGCCTGAATTTCTTTTTTTTTTTTTTTTTTTTTTTTTTTGCGGTACGCGGGCCTCTCGCTGTTGTGGCCTCTCCCGTTGCGGAGCACAGGCTCCGGACGCGCAGGCTCGGCGGCCATGGCTCACGGGCCCAGCCGCTCCGCGGCATGTGGGATCTTCCCAGACCGGGGCACGAACCCGTGTCCCCTGCATTGGCAGGTGGGCTCTCAACCACTGCGCCACCAGGGAAGCCCTAGGCCTGAATTTCTTCGTCTGTAAATGAAAGGATTTGAACGAACTACTCTTAGTTCTTTCTATATAGAACATTCTACCATTCCATGGCTCAACATTCAACTGAATTTCCAGTTATAATAAACATTTATTGATAAACATAAATTTCCTGCCCTCACTTTGTTCCTTTTTGGAAACAGATACTATCTCACAGTATCACAGGACATGTGGTTTTTTGCCTGATGTGAAGGCCCAGAGAAGAAACATGGCCTGAAATCCCACAGCCTGTTTCGTAGTGGGTTCTGTAACTTCCAGCTCAATGTTCTTTCCCACTCCATCTGCCTCCATTATAAGAAGGGAATTACATGCTTCCCCTTCCTCCTACCAACAAAGAGGAATAGAAGGCAGAGGCTAGTGGCATCCATTCAGTATGGCTTCTCTGAGTACCTTCTAAATACCGCCCCTCATAGGAGGCCTCTTTCAGGATGTAAGAGAAAAGGCAGCGTTCCTGGCTCTGAGTCCATAGCCAGACCAAGACACGAGACCATATGACTAGATGAGACAACAGTTTATAGCAGTGTATGATTAGGGGCTGGCAAGGGTTATAGACAGTGGCGCTTTTGCCTGTGAGTAACAGATACTCAAATAGGTTGAGTAAGACATTTATTGTCTCAATCCACCCAAAGGTAGACAAGGCTGGAGGAAGAGCTCAACAATATTGTCAAGGACTCTTTCTTTTCATCCATCTATTCTGACACCCTTGGTGTGCTGGCCTGCTTCCTCAGATTTTTTCCCTCATGGTTAAATATGGCTGTCACAGTCCAGGCATCACATCATCATACTACTGTCTCCAAAATCAATTCTCAGGAGGAAAAAAATGGAGTTTTTTCCCACTTTTTTTTTTTTTTTAATAATAGAGAAAAATGTTTCCCAGACGCCTCCATCAGACTTACACTCAGCTCCCGTCAGCCAGGATCTAATCATCAGTTCCTGCCCAAACTGTGAGGAAAGCTAGGAAAGTGATCCTCTAGAATTTTGAATCATTATGGTAAAAACTCTGCAACAAGAGAAAGAGGACAGGTGCAGGCAGGAACTGTCTGCTACAGTCCTCAAAGACAGGACAGACAATGTGACCACCAGACTTATCAGGAAATGCAAAAAGACAGACATCAAGATTGGCAAGAAATTTAAAAGAATTGGAATACTATAAGCCCTGGAGCAACCACTCGAAACAAAGAGGTATAGCTAATAAGTCAATAATGCAGATAAAATGGAATCCAAAAATAATCCCAGTAAGTATAAGAAAAGAAGAAAAAAGGAATAAAGGACAGAATGGATAAATAGAAAACATATAGTAGACAAATCCCACAATATTGATAATTACATTAAATGTAAATTACCTAAACACTCCAAATAAAGGGTAAAAATTATTAGACTATTTTTTTTAAAAAAACAACTATGCTGTCTACAAGAAACCCGCTTCAAATATAAAAATATTTATAGGTTAAAATTAAAAGGATGGGGACTTTCCTGGTGGCACAGTGGTTAAGAACCCTCCTGCCAATGGAGGGTACACGGGTTTGATCCCTGGTCTGGGAAGATTCCACATGCCACAGAGCAACTAAGCCGGTGCACAACAACTGCTGAGCCTGTGCTCTAGAGCTCGTGAGCCACAACTATTGAGCCCGTGTGCCACAACTACTGAAGCCCACGCACCTAGGGCCTGTGCTTTGCAGCAAGAGAAGCCACCACAATGAGAAGCCTGCGCACCACAATGAAGAGTAGCCCCCACTCGCCACAACTAGAGAAAGCCCGCGTGCAGCAATGAAGACCCAAGACAGCCAAAAATAAATATAAATTAATTAATTTTAAAAAAATTTAAATATGTAAAAAAAGTAAAAGGATGGAAAAAGATGTACCAGTTAAACACTAAGCACTAATATCAAAGTATTCTTCAGAACAAGGAATATTAGCAAAGAAAAAAAAGTCAATTCCTAATGTTAAAAGGGTCAATTTATCAAGAAGACTTAACAATTTAAAATAGAGCTTCAAAATACATAAAGCAGATAATGCCAACTGAAAGACAAAGTTGGCAAATTGGCACATCCATAATTACAGATGAAGATTTCAACATTCCTCTTTCAGTAACGAAATAACAAGCATACAGAAAATCAACAGGAACAGAGAAGTTGCCAAAGACAATACCAACCAGCTTGACATAAGTGACATTAAAAAAACACAATACTACACAACTGTATATGGAACGTTCACCAAGACAGACCATGTGCTGGGCCATAAAAACATTTGTTCAGCAGTGGGCCCTCTAGGACTGGTACACGTCTCCTGGAACCTTGGAGGCATTCCTCAGCCTGGCACTCCTTGAGCCAAGTAAACCGTTCAGAACGGAAAAAGATGAAAAACTGCTCTGAAGATCATTGGCATCAGTGTCTTTCCTAATGATAGTGTATCAAATCCAAATATTCAGAAGACATGTTTTGAGAAACCAAATGATGTCTAAGAAATACTGACATTCAAAACTTTTCCTTGATTCACTTAAAGTACGTAAAGAGATAGGGTCTAGGGTCTGAGTACGTGTATTCAAGGTATTTCCAGTACACATTTTTTTAAAAAGCACTTTCTATCTGCTTCACGTATTGGAAATATTATGTATGTGCTTTCCAATCTTATGAAGTGAAAAGTTGCTTTAACCATTGTTAGATAATACTAAATGAGAGATGAGGTAGACAAAATAATGTTTTTTTCAAATATTTTTATAGGCGTTCATGATGTGCTGAGCAATGAAAGACCTTCTGGTTATATGCGGGAGCACAGGCAATTAAATGGCTGGTCATCAGATGAAAACGACTGGAATGAAAAACTCTATCCAGTGTGGAAGAGGGGAGACTCGAGGTGGAAAAACTCTTGGAAAGGTAAATCAAAAGACTCAACCAAAACAACTGTAATTTCTTTTTTTTTTTAATTTCAAGTGTACAACATAGTGATTCAATTTTTTTAACTGAAGTATAGTTAATTTAGAATGTTGTGTTAATTTCTGCTTACAGCCAAGTGATTCCGATGTATATATATTTATATGTTCATATATATATGAAGACACACATTCTTTTTTTAAATATTCTTTTCCATTATGGCTTATCTCAGGATATTGAATATAGTTTTATAGTTCCCTGTGCTATACAGTAGGACCTTGTTTTATATCCATTCTATATGTAACAGTTTGCATCTGCCGACACCAAACTCCGAGTCCATCCCTCCCCAACCTCTCCTCCCCCTTGGCAATAACAAGTCCGTTCTCTATGTCTGTGAGTCTCTTTCTGTTTCGTAGATAGGTTCATGTCATATTTTAAATTCCACACATAAGTGCTATCGTATGGTATTTGTCTTTCTCTTTCTGACTTCACTTAGTATGATAAACTCTAGGTCCATCCATGTTGCTGCAAATGGCATTATTTCCTTCTTTTCTATGGATGAGTAGTAGTCTATTGTATATATGTACCACATCTTCTTTATCCATGCATCTGTTGATGGACATTTAGGTTGTTCCATGTGTTGGCTACTGTGAATAGTGCTGCTGTGAACATAGGGGATCATGTATCTTTTTGAGTTATAATTTTGTCTGGCTATAGTCCCAGGAGTGGGATTGCTGGGTCATGTGGTAATTCTATTTTTAGTTTTTTGAAGAACTTCCATACTGTTTTCCATAGTAACTGTACCAATTTACATTCCCACTAACAGTGTAAGAGGGTTCCCTTTCCTCCACACCCTCTCCAACATTTATTATTTCTGGACTTTTTGTTGATGGCCATTCTGACTGGTGTGAGTTGATACCTCACTGTAGTTTTGATTTACATTTCTCTAATAATTAGCAATATTGAGCATCTTTTCATGTTCCTATTGGCCATCTGTATGTCTTCTTTGGAGACATGTCTAGTTAGGTCTTCTGCCCATTTTCCGATTGGGTTGTTGGATTTTTGTTGTTGAGTTGTATGAGCTGTTTGTATATTCTGGAAATTAATCCCTTGTCAGTCACATCGTTTGCAAATATTTTCTCCCATTCCGCAGGCTGTCTTCTAATTTTGTTTATGGTTCCCTTGGCTGTGCAAAAGCTTGTAAGTTTGATTAGGTTGCATCCGCCAAACAGCTGTAATTTCCTATTTCAGTTAGGCTTGTAGATTGCAGACTCTGAGATCACAGGGCTCATGGTGCGTCCATGAATGACAGTACTCTAGTTACCAAGTGGGAGGCACCTGGATTTGGCAATCTCCTTTATCTCAACAGTATCACTTTCTAAACTCCTCTCCCCCACCACACTCACAGTAAAACCGCCTTAGAAATTTACAACTGGTGCCTCTTGGAAGATTTTGAAGAGCAAGCAGGTTTGGCCTCAAACTTAAGTAACTGATGTGGGAATGGTCATCTTCAGAAGTTCTGAGACTCCAGGGCACTTTGACCATCTCAAAAGTGTGGTTTCTCAGAAAGTTAATATCTTTCTGTTCATATCAAAAGCCAATGAATCCTTCAGTCATTGGTCTTGAAATTGAAAATTGCAAACCTTTAATACGTGTCTCCTCAATCCAATTAAATAGATTTTTAATTATTTTAAGGAAATGTTCTTTCTGTGGTTAGAGAATTCTTCAATTGGTCTGACTTTTTAAGTTTGTCTTCTGGAATGTTGTACTCTGACAGCAAAAGCGAAGAATTCTGCAAATAGTTTGTAAAGAGGCATAAGGATCCTCTGGTTCTTATTTGTAGATTTAACTTTACTTTTTTTTGTTTATCAGTGAAAGGGAAAAGAGGTGTTTGATTGAGCTCTACTTTTCTATGCCCTAGGAGGCCGTGTGCAGGCACTTCTGACCAGTGATGCACCAGCACTGGTGGGCTCAACTATAACATTCGCAGTGAACCTGGTATTCCCCAGATGCCAACAGGAAGGTGCCAGTGGCAACATAGTCTATGAGAAGAACTTCAGAAATGGTAAGGAATGTTAGTCCCATTACAGGAACATGCTAGTTCTCCTAACTACTGGAGACCCTCCTCATAAACCTTAATGCTCACAGGTACTTCTATAAATGCAAGATGCTGCAGTTGTCCCTTGTCACCCCCTCCTCAAGTTGGATGACAGGGAATGTGAATATGTCCCTCCATCAACATCAGTCAAATCCATTTCGGCCAACGGGTGTCTCTCCACTACTTGGAACTCTCCTCAAATCTACGTTGTGAGGCTTGGCCTTTTCTTTTTTTAGCTGCCCTTTGCTGCATGTGGGATCTTAGTTCCCTGACCAGGCATCGAACCCATGCCCCCCTGCATTGGGAGCTCGGAGTCTTAACCACTGGACCGCCAGGGAAGTCCCGAGGCTTGGCCTTTTCTTAGTGCCCAGTTGATTGGACAGAGAATACCTTGTTGATTCTCAGATTCGGATTTTATTACTTGGACTTCTTCTGGCTACTCAAAGAATAGTCAATTTGTCAGATCTTTGTTAATCAGATAGGCTTCTGCTCACAAGAATTCCTTAAACTGTGTGCCTAGCACAAATGCTAAGATGTGTCTATTTTGGTGTTGCTTTGCTCTTAGTTAAAGCAGATAAGCTCTTTGCCCATGTTAAAGAGCACAAATGATTACAAATACATCAAGGGGGATTACCTCGTTAGAACTGTACAGCCTTAAAAGCTCAGGTAATTACTGAGATTCCTCAGTCAGTAACAAGGCTGGTAAGTGCAGTCATGATCTGATTTTATTACTTAGAACTTCTGTGAAACAGTTGATGTGTTTATTTCTTAGTAATTCATCCTCCTCCTATGAGGCAAACAATGAATTCTGTGTAGAAAGAGTTTGATAATTAAAAAGTGTTGTTTATAATCGTCTGGAGCATTTTTTCTTTCCTTCTAAAAAAGTTAATACTTGGGGCTTCCCTGGTGGCGCAGTGGTTGAGAGTCCGCCTGCCGATGCAGGGGACACGGGTTCGTGCCCCGGTCCGGGAGGATCCCACGTGCCGCGGAGCGGCTGGGCCCGTGAGCCATGGCCGCTGAGCCTGCGCGTCCGGAGCCTGTGCTCCCCAACGGGAGAGGCCACGGCAGTGAGAGGCCCGCGTACCGCAAAAAAAAAAAAAAAAAGTTAATTCTTATGAATGTTTCAAATGACAGTCTAACCCTCTGAGCACTTTTATATGAAAGAGTCCTTGTGACTTATGAAAAGTTATATAAAGTATATATCACCACTAGAAGAAACTAGAATTTTTGAAGAAATGACTAATTCCAGGTGTAGGACAGGGAAAGTACCACATGAACCAGGGACATCTTGTTGTCGCAGAAAACAAGGGAGTAATGGGGACATGTCACAGGGACACGGAAGGCAGCTAGAGGGGCTCCTACTGGCCATATTTGGAACAACTTAAGAGTAAAAAAAATAATGGCTGTAGTAGATTGATAAATAAAAAGGCTCTTCATAAATGTCAGTGACATAAAAAAAAACAAGAGGGTGGGGGGATTGTTCTAGATGAAAATATACTGATCATGACTTGTTTAAAATGGAAAACTGATGTTTTCCCAAACATACAGAAAAGTAGAAAGCAGGTACTTCGAGATTCAACAAATTTAACATTTTTTTCCTGTTTCCATCTATCTATCTACCTATGTATCTGTCATCTATCTACATTTCTAGGCATATTTCTTTTTTTTTTCTGAATCATTTGAAGAAACAAAATAGCCAAATGTATGATGTGACCTTTGACTGTGGTAGGCGTGGCGATGACGTGGTTATGTAAGAGAATGTCCTTATTCTTTGGAGATGTGTGCTGAAGTCTTTAGGAGAGGAGAGTCATGATGTCAAATGAATCAGGGAAAAAAAGCTACAGATAGAGAGAGTGTATCAAAGTAAAATGATACAGCATCCCTCAGTTTGGTTTGAATATGCTTGTGATTTGGAGACCCAATATGAAGGTAAACATATTAAGTGATAGCTCTAAATTTCCTGAAAAATTGCTTTATATAAAACTCATTGAAATATAACATGTAGGCAGAAAAATGCACAGGTCGTAAAGGTACCATTAGATGAATTCTGAATATTAGGGTTTTAGTTGTCCAACCATATTTAAATGAGTTATGAAAAAATATGAAAATGTGTTTAATTCAATGAAGAGCATTGAGTATTCTGAGTCAATCATGGCGTGTTCCTTTCTCTCTTTAGATACTGGTCCATCTCCTGACCCACATGTTTACAACTGGACAGCATGGACAGAGGACGGTGACTGGGGAAATGGCACCAGACAAGGCCATCACGGGAAGCCTTTCCCTCACCCCCGAAAATGGAATTTCGTCTTTGTGTTCCACACACTTGGTTGGACTTTTACAAACCCCCTTAGCTTCCTCTTTACCTTTCCTTCAAATTTTAAATTTTTTCTCTTTCCATATTCTATAATTGAGAATTACAACACTGGGAGTTTAACAACAGTTACTCTTTTAACTTTCCTTAGCTGGAGTGGAGGGTGAGGGATAAAAATTAAATCTGGGTTAGCCTTGCCATATCTCCAGGACATCAAATAATTAAAACGAGAAAAAGACAGGTTCAGCTTTCTTTTTTTTTTTTAAGACAAAGCTACTCAATTTTTTTCCATCTAAAACAGTAATATGATAAATAATATTTATTTATTTGCATCGCACACGGATGGGCATTTGCTGATTTATTATTTAATTTTTTTATGGTTTTTAAAAGAATTTTCAGAATTTAACTTATGCTCTTTGTAGGAAATTTGGAAAATGCAGAAAAACACAAATGAAAAATCAGTCACCATAATTCACACCAGAGATTATCATTGTTAACATGATGGTGTTTTCTCTACCAGTATTTCTTTCTTTCTTTTTTCTTAGTATTTCTTGATTAAGATCATAAAATATATACATTTTGATCAATATCATGAGCATTGACTAAAATTCTTGCATGGCTTGTGGGATCTTAGTTCCTTGACCAGGTATCAAACCCAGGCCCCGGCAGTGAAAGCACCGAGTCCTAACCACTGGACCGCGTGAGAGTTCTCTAAACCTTTTTATACACATTATTTTAATGACTGCATAATATTCTATTGAGTAAAAGTATAATAATCTAACTACTCTTCTTCTTTGACATAACCTACCCTCTTTTTTTTTTTTTAACCACAAATGGTATCCACTTTGCTTTACTATTAGTGAAGTGATTTTTTTTTTTAAGGAGGACTAAATTTAGGTTATTAGCAAAGCTGCTAACTTCTTAGTTAAAAATCTTACCAGGTGCCACCTGGCTCTGAGTATTGCAAATCTGCTACCAGCCATGCAGACTCCAAATTTCTAAATGTTTGGTCTGTCTTCATGAATTACAGACAGCTTCTCTTTCTTCAGTTAACTTATAAATCAAAATAACATATTAATAATACATGGTCCACTTGAACAGAGTACAAAATGTATAACAAATACTATGCTCGTCTATTTAAATCAGCTGATTTAAAGCCGACTTTTTTCAGTCCCTTCATGGCCCTGTCAGTTAATTCCCCAAGTGTCATGATTTCTTTGACCTGACAGTTTGCATGGAGTCACTTAGGCTCACTAACACTCCAGATTCTGTTTAGCCTAGTTAACAACCATTAATTTAACTAGTTAAGATGTCTTTATTTAACATCAGTTTCCAGCCCAGAAACCGCTGTTTTCCTAACAAGACGGTTTTGAATTTCCATCTTCTGCTGAGGTCTCAGAGTTAACTAATATTTTTCCTCAGCCAAGCGCTGCCTCTGTGGTCGGTGCCAGAACTAACATTTCCTCACGTGTCACTAATTCCAAGAGACACCTCTTTCCCCTACAACCTCTAACAGAACTGCCTCTTCATTTCAAGGTAAAGGGGGATCGCAAGCCTTTCCTGACACTTTATTTTCTATTTTTTGGGCTGCAACTCGCGGCGTGTGGGATCTTAGTTCCCCGACCAGGGATCGAACCCGTGGCCTCTGCAGTGGAAGCGCAGAATCTTAACCACTGGACCACCAGGGAAGTCATCCCTTTCCTGACACCTTTGACCATGTGATGAACATGGTCTTTAAACATCTCCGTCTCACAAGCATCCATCTTACAATACTTGTTGTTTCAATGACACATCTGTGCCAGGTGCCTCAAAAAGATTAGAAAAATCCTTGAGCCCTGAAGGAGAGGAATTACTTTCACTAGCTAGCCAGTGGCAGTTAGATTTAGGTTAGAGTTGGAGAAAGAAAAAGAAGGATTCAAGGGCCCTAGAAATGTTAACTACTCCGTTCCTTTTTATACCCACAATACCCTGTTTGTTTTTCATCACTTACTGCATTTTTATAAAGAAACACTACTAGAAGGTGGAGGATTCTAGTTCCCTAAAAGAAAAAAGTTACTTAACAATATAGCTGAACTACTAATATTGTTACAAAAATAAGGTCGATTTTTGGATATATTTTTAACTCCCTTGGACACCTACATCAAATGTATTTTCTGGGGGAAACATATGTATTTCAAGTGCCAGATCACTTCCTTATACAAATTATTTATTTGTAAACTAAGGACTAATGGCATCCCACTAAACAGCTCTTTTCATTTTAATCAACTATATACAATTACATTTATGTTTGTGAGATTGTTTTATAAGGTTTTATATAAAAATGAGCACCGCCTTCTTTTCTGAAGGAGCCGGGACTGCATCCCCATCCTGTTTTTCCTTTCCCAGAACTATCTCTAAATGGCAGTTGTTATGCTTTAAGAAACATCAACTTTCTGTAATGATCATATAATGTAGCCAATAACTAAACATTTCCATCCTCTCAAAGGTCAGTATTTCCAGAAACTGGGACAGTGTTCAGTGAGAGTTTCTATAAACACAGCCAATGTGGCTCTTGGCCCTCAAATCATGGAAGTAACTGTCTATAGAAGATACCGACGGGCGTACGTTCCCATAGCAAAAGTGAAAGATGTGTATGTGGTAACAGGTGAGTGGACTGAACTCTAAATTAACTGAGCGTGAGACACTTAGTTCTGATGATGTCAGTGGGTTAGAAAGAGTTAGAGCCAAGTATTCTGGGTTAGGTTAGATGTCATCTGGACTCCTTCTCAACCTTATATATTTAATAACATATTCCATCTATGTTTTCCAGAATAACCTAGGAAAACTCTAGCAAACTTGTATAAGAAAAGGGAAAATGATGCTGAATTATCCCTAATTTTAATTTCTAACGTTTTTAGTTTAAAAACATTAAAGTCATCCACTTAAAGTCAAGCAGTGGTGACTTTCTTTCTTTCTTTTTTTGGGGGGTGGATATATCTTTTAGATCAGATTCCTGTATTTGTGACTATGTCCCAGAAGAACAATCGAAATTCATCTGATGAAACCTTCCTCAAGGACCTCCCCATTACGTTCGATGTCCTGATTCATGATCCCAGCCACTTCCTCAATGAGTCTGCCATTTACTACAAGTGGAACTTTGGGGATAATACTGGTCTGTTTGTTTCCAACAATCACACTTTGAACCACACCTATGTTCTCAATGGAACCTTCAGTCTCAACCTCACTGTGCAAGCTACAGTGCCTGGACCTTGTCCTTCACCTTCACCCAGACCTCCAAAAACCACCACTTCTTTGGGTAAGTGTTTTCCAGGTCTTTTTTGTTGTCAGGGTTCCTTAACAGCCAGAAAAAAAATTCATGTGGGTTGTATAATTAGATCCTTAGTTAAAGAGACTGTGTAAAAACTCTGCAATGATTCCATTTTCTACCTGTTGATTTCGTTTAGCTACTTTATCACCATTTTTAGTTGTTAGAGTTTGGAAGAAAGGAGAACGTGTTTAAAGTCACTTGGTGACTCGTATACAGCTCCTTGACCTTCCTAATTCTCACTGGCCCTTGTTATGCATACAGATGCTTTCCCCCTTCTAGCCTGTCACATTTCTGTTTGCCTCCCTTTTTTTTTTAGTTAAGAAACATTGACCTCTTGTAAACATTCAGGCCATCCCACTGTCCTTCCTCCCCCTCCCACATTTCCTTCCCACTTCCATTCTCCTCCCCACCGTGCCCACATCCACCCCATGTCCCATGAAAACTCAGCCACCCTTAAATGTAGCTTACAGATAGGCTCGAAAAAGAATGCACCTTGAGAATATTTCTTGGCTGGCAGGCTGGAAAGATTCCAGACACTAAAATTATTCTGGATATAAGTCATAATTACTTAAATCCCACCTTCTAATAATAGTATATGAGGTCATTCAAGAAGTTCTTCAGAGTTTACTTTGTGAAGCATTAGCTTCCGTCTGATTCTACACCCTACCCCACACCATTACCATCCTTCCCCACTAAGCCACGAGTACATCTTACCATGCCGGCGTCCCGGGGATGGTAATAGACTGACATCCTCTCACTGGACACTAGAGGGCTCCATCACCAAGTCGGGACAGAACACTCGATGATGATGTCCAGACTTGTTGCAATTGGTTTTTTTACCCAAACCTGTTAGATATAAATAATAAACTGTTATCAATAAGTGTGTTATTAATAAAAATATCTTGCTAAGTCAAGCATATCTAAAGCAAGACATTATAAGTTATTACCGATTTTGATTAATTCTTTCTTTGAATGTTTTAAATTATAAAATTAATGCATGTCCCTTAATAAAACTTCAAATACAGAAATTTCAAATAAAAGTGAAAGTTCCTCTTCATGCTCTCCTCTCGAGAGTTAAACCCTGTTAAGGGTTGGTAGTGTTTCTTTCCGGATCTTTTTCTGTATATTTACAAACATATTCTATAAATACATATAGGATTTGTGGTTTTGATTTTTAGGTAGATGGGTTCATGAAATATGTATTCTACAGTTTGCCTTTTTTCATTTAACAAACATCATAGACATCTTCCCGTTATCAGTACATTTAAGTCTGACTCACTTGATTCAGTGGCTTATTTATTTAGCCATTCTCTTACTGGTGGATGATTCAGTTAAACCTAATTCCAGTTGTAAATATAACTGCATTGAACAACTCGAAACATATAGCTTTGTTCTGGTATTTCTATAGGAGAGTCAATTTATTTATCTACAAGCATCAGTCTTCCTTACAAATAAGCAGACCAGGTGTAAAATTCAAAATAAATTACAGGTGCTTGTTACATCTGTCTAGAAATTCCTGAATGGTAAAAGTCTTAAGGTTAGGTTATTTAATGTTAGTCTATCTTGAATTGCATTTTTATAAAGCTAGCTTATTTTTCTTAGAACATATTTGTATCATAACATGCAAAAAAATATATTTTAAGTCAATGAAAGAGTATTTTAAATTTGTTATTATTTTCTATAGGTTAGACCATAAGATATAAGGTAGCAATTTGTTAAATTTGTTGAATTTGTTAAATTTCATAGTGAAAGGAAACTGCCTGGCTTTATCTAAAGGTGTTAGATCAACCGTAATCAACCCCAAAATGCCTTAGAGCAGCTGTGAGACTTAGGGAATGGAGGGATGGGAATACGTAATGGGACCCAAGGTGATGATAGGAGTCAGCCCATGACTTGAGAAAGGGGTTGGGGTACTTGTCCTCTGGAAGAGAGAACATTTTCAGCTATGCAGAGCATATTAGCAGGCTTGGATTATTGAGCACTGGATTATTATTTGACCAAAAATTATGTTGTCTCTGCTATAGTAAGTGGCTTCAAAATGAGTACAGCTATTAAATAGAAACCAAATGCAACCAAAGGAGTGAGACAGAAGCAGAGCTGAAGTGGTGATTCAGGAAGATAATTACATTATAGGGCAGACAGGTATGCTCTAGTTTTAAGCTACACAATTCTCCTCCCTTAGGTAACCGTGCCATTGATCATTTCTGTGTACAAATCCAAAAAGAAAATCCTTTGTAAGACTGATGCTAATCAGTGTAATATTATATATAATATGTATATATCATATATATATCATATCATGTAGAACTTTCCCAAAGAATCAAAGGATCTCACACCATTCTCTGAGTAACAGGGACATAAATAGTGAATTAAGTAGGACGCTTACCTTCTTCCCCATCTGTCTTTTAAGGTGTTAGCTTTTCTCCATTAGCCCTTTAATCATACCTTGACTTTGTATGTATAGATATAGATTTGACATTGTACATACCTCTGCAAAACTCCACATGCATTTTTATAAGCATTCTACCAAAGATAAAATCATGGACATTTATTAGTCATCTTTTATGAGAAGTTTTATTTTAAAAGATGGCAGGGTCATGATTCCATGCTCTAACTTGACAGCTAAATTTCACCTGTCAAGACCTTCAAAAGGAGATTTCTAGGGAAGAGCCAGCCATCTTTAATACCCTTCACAAACCTATCTTTTGCTTCGGAGCCCATCAGTTAAATCTCAGAACAGGAAGAATGATTACCCTGTAACTTCCACAGGACCACCGTGAAGCTCAGAGGACACAGCCAAGCCTGCCATAGCCAAACCTGCTGATAAGCCACTGCATCTGAATCTGGCATGGCATCAGAACCTTTCTGGGTTTTACCCAAACAACATTTCCCAAAGTGTGTGCCATGAAGCGCTACTTTCCAGAGATGCTCTGAGAACTGCTCTGCGAAGGTCCCTCTGAGCAAAGGAGCATCACAGGCACATTCATTCACCCACTAGAGGCTCTGAGGAGCCCTGGAGAAGTCTCCCAATTGGCTTCATACTTACATATCCCTGTGTTAGAGATGCAGCTCTTATGAAGCTTTGATTCCCCCCAAACTGGGTCCATTTTCATGCCTTTGGAAATTTGAGACAGTAATGTTGTATTTTCAGTATTATATTTTCTTTCCAGTCTTTTTATCTTGTTAATGGAACACCACCACCTTAATTAGAGCTTTTTAAATTGTAACTAATAGAGCATTAAATTCTTTGCTCTAATCACACTCAAAGGGTTATTTTTCAACAGCATCTTGTATTCACTCCTTTCCTTCCCCACACCTCTGCTCATCATAGTGACTGTATGACTTCTAGAATGTAAACTTAGGATCTATGAGACATTCAAACAGGGAAAGAAGTGCCTTTTTCCATGTTGTTTCCTTCTTATCATTTAAAATTATCCACCTTAACATTTGAAATTACATACCTTATTACATATATATGTTATAGCACATCTGTACCTACATAGATGTGTAGAAGTACATATTGGGATAAGGAAACAGATATTTATTAAATACTTCCTACACGGCAGACATGAGAAGCAAGTTTTATATATTTTATTTATAAAATTTTATTTAAGTTTTTTATTTTATTTAAGTTTTACAGTTCAACTCTAGTAGGTCAGTAAGTATTGTCCCTATTTTACAGATGAGCAAATTGAGGAAAGAGAGGTTAAATGACATGCCCATGGTCTCAAACAGCTAAAAACAAGGGGCCTAGAATTTGAGTCCAGAATACCTTCCTCCAAAATTACAATATAATTTTATCTGTTGTGGCCTGCTTTATTTCATCATGGTTGTTGTACTACACATTTTAATATGGCTTCCACCTTTCATATGATATTTGTGCTTGAACAAGATACGGGATTGTGTTTACTTACATAATTTAACAATTTTATAATGCTTTATAGCTCTCACATCTATATGAGTTGTTACCCATTTAGTTCAAATTTCTGCAGCAATTTAATAGTATAGAACTCTTGATGTTTTTCTAAAGAGCAAGTAGACAAATGTTTAGATCTTTGGTAATATCATGTACATCTTTTACGTTCTCAACAAGTACCCTAAAATCTTGTTATTCAGACTCTCCAGTACCTGCTGGTGACAATGCCCTGGAGCCGAGCGAGATTCCTGATAAAAACTGCCATATTAACAGATACGGCTACTTTAAAGCCACCATCACAATTGTAGGTAAGACCATGGAGGAAAGATGTTAGAATCCACCTTGGGTCACCCACTCCCTTACCTGCCTCTGGAGGGGTGAGGATGGAGAGAGCAAGGGCACCCACTCTCTGTCCAAGGTGGTACCACATGTGCACAAGCAAAGACTCCACTAGTTGCTAGATTTCCACCTGCCTTCCCGGCCTTCCTTAGACATCCTGGTGGAAATGAGCCCTCTGTGAGGCCCACAGAGCAATGAGCCTGCCAGGGGGCCTGGACCTCTGACCCTGTGCAGCTCAGAAACCTGAATGAATGTGGCCTGAAGGAAGGCCAGTTGCAAATTCTCACAGCTCCCACTTTCCTCCCCTGGGTGATTTCACAAAGTCACACCTCCTGTGTGTAAGAAAGAGGGTTGAACAAGGGCCACCACACCGGGCTGTGTGCTTGGTGCGCTGCTCACAGGTGCCGAACAGAGGAGACGGCTGGGGCTAAAACCCACATGGTGGTCCAGGGGCTACAACTCCACCTTCTGATGCAAGGGGTGCGGGTTCAATCCCTGGTCGGGGAGCTAAGATCCCACATGTCTCGCGGCCAAAAAGCCAAAACATAAAACGAGCAATATTGTAACAAATTCAATGAAGACTTTAAAACTGGTCCACACTAAAAACAAACAGGGCTTCCCTGGTGGCGCAGTGGTTGGGAGTCCGCCTGCCGATGCAGGGGACGTGGGTTCGTGCCCCGGTCTGGGAGGATCCCACATGCCGCGGAGCGGATGGGCCCGTGAGCCATGGCCGCTGAGCCTGTGCGTCCGGAACCTGTGCTCCGCAACGGGAGAGGCCACAGCGGTGAGAGGCCCACGTACCGCAAAAAAAAAAAAAAAATCAAAATAAATAAAAAAATAAACCCCAAGCTGTGCCTACTGGGGCTGAGCCACTTGGGCAGGAGAGACAGCAGCCGAGGCCTGAGCCTGGGCCTGCTCCCCTTCAGGGTCATCTTTCCCGGAAACACCTCCTCCAGTGGGTGCCGCCTCCTGACACACAGGCTCCAGAACTAAACATCAAGGTTGGGCTGAAGAGCTGTTTAGTTTGACTTTGAAAATGCTGCCTGGAAATGTACCCAAAGCTCTGGGGCAGATTCCCGGGTCTGGGGTGGTGAGAAGCTGAGTCCGTTTTGTTTGGCCTTCTGATTGGTTAAGAAGTGGTTTGGTTTGGTTTGTGTTGTATTTTGATGTGTTTTTCTGCGGGGCATTGTTCCATTAGAGGGAATCCTAGAGGTTAACATCATCCAGGTGACAGACATCCTGATGCCCGTGCCACAGCCTGACAACCCCCTGGTGGATTTCGTCGTGAACTGCCAAGGGAGGTGAGTACATTATCTCCAAGAAAGGGGCCAAGTGAGGACCCCAGGCTGAACAAAGGTCTTCATACCCCTCTCCCCTTTAAAGTTGATTTGGATTCTAGTTCCTCAGCAAGCCAGGATGAGGAAGGACCCTCCCACGTGCTCTCAAGCATGCACTTGCTTTGCTAGAGCTGAGCAATGCTCACCACCTTTGACTGTTGAAGAAGAATTACTGATTGAACACTTACTGTGTCCTTAACATTTTACTTCTGTTTTCATGTCAAATCCTCACACAGTCGTATGAGTCTCCTCATTTACACCAGTGATAACAGTACCTCCCTAGGTGGCGGGTACCTGGCAGAGCAAGGTTCCTGGGTTGAGGTCTGGCTCAGAGCCTCTTAAGCTCCCTGAGGCTCCTCCGGAGTCAGGGGAGGCCATGTGGAAGCTCTGTGTCCTTGTGCTAAGTAGTAGCAATGCCTGATCATCCTGTCTCGCTTTAAAACTTACAAAGCTCTTTCTAATGCGTTATATAATTTGACTTCCTAATGTTTGGTTATAACTATAGATAATAGACAGAATATAAACTAATTAATATATAAATACTATATCAATTAAGCCATCAAATATGTGAATGACTTACTAATTTACATATAAGTAAATCAAGTAATTAAAATGTACGTGTATGTGATATATAAATTAATCAAGAGAATGGGCTGGTATAAAAACGAGGCCTTATCTGATCAAAAAGGATAACTCCAGGGAATTCCCTGGTGGTCCAGTGGTTAGGACTCTGCTCTTCCATTGCAGGGGGCACGGGTTCAATCCCTGGTCAGGAAACTAAGATCCTGCAAGCCGCAGGGTGCACCCCCCAAAAAGCGGGGATAGCTCCATAGCTCTCTGGATTGGGGAGAGAATGGGATGAGGATGACAGAAAAAGAGAAAACCCTGACTGAGGAGGCAAAGCTGCTTCAAGAGGCCAGGGGCCAGGTGAGAAGGGAACATGAACTCGTCTAATTTCCCACGCCCTCATCAGGCCCAGCTTCAGAGCCTGGTCTCGCCATCCAGGAAGTCTACTCAGAAGTGAGACAGTGGCTAAGACAGTAACACATGGTAGCCGAGTGGTTACAGGGACAGCTGTCAAACCTCTTTTATTCAAGTCCCAGCTCCACCTCTAACTGCTTTTTTAACCTGGGGCCAGCGATCTCCCCTCCCAGAGCTAGTTTGTCACCTGCTGCATTAGGAAAGTATTACTTTCCTCATCAGGTCGTTGAGAGGAATAGACAAGACTATATCACTTATCAGAAACTCAGTGCCTTGCACAGAGTAGGTGCTGCATAAACAGCTCTGGTTGCTGCTGCTGCTGTCGTCATATCTCTGCAGGAGCCCACGCAGGGCCGACTGGCATTTAATACTACCTTTGCCTAACACCTAAGCCGTCTGCATCTTTGGACATCTAGAGAGCCAAAAAGGAGAGGGAAGTTCCCAGCAGCCCCTTGCCTTGGGGGACATAATTTCTTCCTCCTCCAGCACCAGGGGCTCATCTTCCTGAGGATACAAAGGAAACAATGGCTCACACCCAGGCTCGTTTAAGAGTAAATTAAGATCCCACATGCTGCGGAGCAACTAAGCCCGTGCGCCACAACTCCTGAGCCTGCGCTCTAGAGCCCGTGAACCACAACGACTGAGCCCGCACGCCTAGAGCCCGTGCTCCGCAGCAAGAGAAGCCACCGCAGCGAGAAGCCTGCCACCGCAACGAAGAGTAGCCCCCGCTCGCCACAACGAGAGAAAGCCCGTGCACAGCAACAAAGACCCAACGCAGCCAAAAATAAATAAATAATTCTTTAAAAAAATTTTTAAAGAGTAAATTATATGTGACAATTTCATGTCATATGGTTTGAGTAAGAATAAGTAGGATTCCATTTTATAGAAATGTAGTGATTTTCTTTCTACACTGATGTCATATTCCTCTCTCTCTCTCTGTGTCATTCGTGCCCTCAGCATTCCCACAGAGGTCTGTACCGTCATCTCTGACCCCACCTGCCAGGTCACTCAGAACACAGTCTGCGACCCTGTGAACATGGACCTGGGCGATATGTGCTTGCTGACAGTGAGAAGAGCCTTTGGTGGGTCTGGGACATACTGTATGAACCTGACTCTGGGTGATGATGCAAGCCTGGCCCTCACGAGCACCCTCGTCTCTATCCCTGGAAGAGGTAAGTTTTGTTTTATGGTTGTATGAACATTTCATGTTGGAGATAAAGTGTGTGTCCAATACCAAAGCTACTCAAGGCTTCACTCTCAATATTTAGTTTTATTTCCATGTAAAATTCATTGAACTGTTGTTAACGTGGATTTGAGAAATGGCATTAAAAGCCAACAGCAAATCTACTTAGGGAAGGGATGAGAGAGAGAAACCCAATGAAGTAATGCCCAGAGAAAAGCCTTTTGACGAAGAAAATCAGCTGTGATCATGGACCAGTAATAATGGGATGTGGTCACTGCATGCTCAGATAGATTTGTAATTCAAGAGGAAAGTGCAAAGCCCAACATCAAAAAATAACAATGGGGCTTCCCTGGTGGTGCAGTGGTTGAGAGTCCGCCTGCCGATGCAGGGGACACGGGTTCGTGCCCCGGTCTGGGAAGATCCCACATGCTGCGGAGCAGCTGGGCCTGTGAGCCATGGCCGCTGAGCCTGCGCGTCCGGAGCCTGTGCTTCGCAACGGGAAAGGCCACAACAGTGAGAGGCCCGTGTACCGCAAAAAAAAAAAAAAAAAAAAAAGTGTTGTCCAATTAAGCTACAACAAAGGGGAGGCTGGTGTCATGTTGTCATTGGAATCCACCTGGGCAAAGATATGAAGCCATGAAGAGAAATGAGAAACCAGGTGGACTCCTGGTTCCCTTCTAACTTGCCATGTGCCCTTTCCTTCCCTTCCCAAATTCTACCAAGCATTACACTGAGACGGAAACAAACCAATTTACCTAGTCCTTAAATGTTCACCAGAAAAGCTACTCCTTGTCCCCTTAATGCTCGGAGAGGTAAAATGTTAGCCAAGTGGTTGAAGGAATTTCATTGAGAAATTCCCATCTACTGGTGGCTGCTAATCTTCCCCAGCCCATAAGGACTCTACCTGGTGACCCTAACTGAATTTCACTTATAACTGACTATGTTGTAAGATACTGCTTTACCTCTTAGAGGAAGTGCTACATGGTGGGACGGAAGGCACAGATTAAATTGTGCACACGTTACAGCACGTGTTTTGCTCCTTAGTTTGAGGATTGTTGGGTACAACATAACAACTAACTCACAAATAACTCTTTCGGTCGTGGAGTGTATCTTATAAGGTGAAATGTACTTAAACATATATTTACTCATTAACTATATAAAAGGCAGCTTTAACCTCATTGAAAGAAAAGCATAAGTAATCATGCATATAATTATTTGCATGAGGGTTTATTGTTGGTGAGATCCAAGGTGTACGTTAAAAAAAAAAGAAAAGAATGCAAAGGTATGCTGCTTCCTCCCAGGGAGGGTGCATGGGGTCTGGGGTGCAGAAGTGGGGAGCCGGGCGAAAAGAGGCAGCCGGAGCCTCTGTATTTGAGTGAGTGTGGATCTTCTACACCATCACGTCCAGGAGCTACTGGGGTTGTTTTTCTTGTGCTGCTGCAGTTACTTTTAGAATTGCCTTTTAGAGTCCCAACCTATTCTGTGAAGCTTTCTCAGTTCTGGCAAACCACGGTTCTCTTACCTGGATTAGACGCTTGGATATTTGCTTCCCTTTAATCCTTCTTGTAGTGAGTGATAACTTTAGGTGTGACCTGAGCCATTTTTAAAATCCAAAAAAGGAAGCTCAGAAAGAGAGCTTTTAATCCAATGGGAATTGTAACTTGATGACTTGGGTTTCAAAGTCAGAATCTCAAAAGTCCATCTCTGTTCAAAGGCAAACGCATTGCCTGTTAGCTGAAATGACTTTTAATCATTGATTCAAGGAACATTCATGAAGCACCTGCAATGCTTTCAACAAATATTCACTGGGCATCTACTCCATGTCCATCACAGCTCCAGGCACCAGGTAGCCAGTTGTAGATAGAGTGGGAACAAGGTGAGGAAGGTCCCAGCTTTTGTGAGCAGAAAGAGGCAGTAAACAAATAAGATGATATTGTGAAAACAATGAAACAAGGCGTGGAGAGTGACAAGCATGGGAGAGAGGGGGCAGAAGTTGGCTCTCTAGATTGGGACGTTGGGAAAGTCCTTCCAACGCAGTGGCACCCGCTTGGTGAAGTGCCTTCTCTGAATGAGAAGGGCCTCCTCCTCCACCTCTGAGACCTGCATTTCAAGAATGAGCAGCCGGGCTTCCCTGGTGGCGCAGTGGTTGGGAGTCCGCCTGCTGATGCAGGGGACACGGGTTCGTGCCCTGGTCCGGGAAGATCCCACATGCCGCGGAGCGGCTGGGCCCATGAGCCATGGCCACTGAGCCTGCGCGTCCGGAGCCTGTGCTCCGCAACGGGAG